TTTATCATCTGAGTCGAGCGATGTATGGTAAAAGTGTGCAATAGCAGCGGTATTACGTATCAACACTCGGTCCAATGAAAACGGTCGAATGATCGGAATAAAGCCTGAACTTGTCTTCGTCATTCTTCGGCACGATTCGTAATAGTCGTGCACCGGTGAGTTCGACGTCCTGTGTAATGAGTGTACTTAGTTGTATTTTATTTTTCGGTACTTTTACAACTGGTATTTAGAAACTTACTTACCTTGAAAAACACCTTGAAAGTTTCTAGAAATGGATCATCTGAAACAAAGTGTTTTTGTTAATGTTTGTAAATACTATTATTGTACTCGATTAGTTGTTTGTTGTCAATTACGATTCACCGATTAAAATTGTATACCAAGAGTTAAGTGATCTTTTGTTGAATCATTTTTACTTGTTTAGAAATAATATGGTATTATTATTATTTAATTATAATTTTTTTCAAAATTATATAAATTAACATTTTTATGTAGCAATTTACAATATAATAAAATATAAAATATTGCTAAAATTTAATAAGTATTTTATGAATATATTTTTTTTAATTTATACATCTTTTTCCATTTTTTAAAAATTTCTTCGATAATTATAAATAAAATAATAAAATTAATTTTTTATTAAAAATGTAAAATATTTAAACTTTAATTTCAATTGCAAATTTCATTATTAATTAAACATAATTTATATAATTTTTTAAATATTTTACTTAATATTAATCTATTTCATTGTGATTTACTAATCAAAGAAATAGAATTTTATACAATATATTTTGATCTGAAATTTGCTTAAATATAGAAAATTATTTGATGCTATGAAAAATATTCGAAAAATATTACGATTTAATTCGATAATTATCAACTTCAGAATGCTTAAATATAATTAAATATTTCAGTTTTATTTAAGAAACGATGTTTTTTATTATAATATATGTATATTATTCTGATTTTTAACAATACATAATATATTAAAAATTTTTTTTTACATTTTTTACATATGTTTTATCATTAAATATTTATAATTTATAATTAAGAGCTGTTTATTTTAATTTTTTTTTACAAAAAAGAGAAAATTTAGAATTTTTATAATAAAAATAATTTTTTGTTATTAAGAGAAATTCAGATAAAACTATGAGTCAATAGAAGATTATAAAATCATAATGATTTTAGTTCTTTATTTCTATGATGAAATATATTAACTAGAAATTCTCGACAAAGAAATCAAGGGTTTTACAATTTCTGCAACGAAGTTACTTAAAGTTTCATGAAAAACTAACAAAGAATCTTACATAAGAGAAGAGAAAATATAAATATACAAGAAAAAAAGAAAAACTATTTAATGAGTTGATTGTTGTAATAAAACGTTAAGACATATTTCCATTTCTACGCTCTTTGAACAGAACGATTTCTATCGTTTTTTATTTACAAAATTTCCTTATCTTTCAAATTATTATTAAGTATGATCAAATAATAAAATTGTACTAATAACTGTAATTCATTGAAAAATTTGTACAAAACGATTTCCAATCATTATCGAAATATCAAAAATGTATATTCATGTTCTTATTCTATTTTTGTTGTTCATTCAGAATTTTTTTTTATCTGAACGAGATCAATGAATTAAAAGTTATTTATAATATATAAATTGAATTCACGCTAAATGAATCAAAATCACATGATTGCGTATACATAAGATAATTCTTTAATTGGATTTTTATTTAAATGAATTTGACTTAAATATTTTTCAATGAATTAATGAATCAGATAAAGAAATGGAAGAAATTTTTTTTAATATAAAAAATATTTTGCCTAAAAAATCTAATATTTTTATTTTCAAATGCGAAATACGATAATTACTTTGGACAAAATAATTAGTATAATTTCATAAAAATCAAGACGACGAATCACAAATTTTTTTTGTAAAAATCTATAAAAAATAAAAAAAAGATTTTTTTATTGATACAAACATATATAATAATAAACTTTTTAATAATGAATGTGCATTATAAACTTTATGAAAATATTTTTTATTTTTACTATATTTGCATTGTATACATTTTATGTATTATTGTATTTATATCAAAATATTGTTAAATATTTTTTTTTTAATTAATCTTATTAACATATTTTATTAATTTATGAATTGGTATTCATTGATCAATAATATATTTATAATCAATCACTATTATTAATGATTATATCGATCTAATAGATCATTTAAATCATAGTAATAATTAATGAGATAATAAAATATTAAATATTTTATTATTAATATACTACAAAAATACTACTAAAATATATCATAACTTATCTATATATAACTATTTTATCTATGTATTTATTTCTAAGTTACATAATAATTATATTATAAAATTATTAAAAAGAATTAAAAATACAATAATATTTGTAATTAAATACAACAATTTAAACATTTGAAACAAAATTAAAAAAAATTGTGATTAATTATTCAAAATAATTATCGTATTGTTATGTATTAATTATTCTCATTATTATTCAATATCATTAAATATATGACATAAAAATTTTTTTTGTAATCACTTAAAAAATTCTAATCAATCAAAAAATTTATCGATAATCGAAGTTGAAAAACAAAGTACTGATAATAAATACAAAATATATGTATTTTAAATCAATATAACGTAAGCATATTTCAATAAAATTTAAATTAAACATCATTACATACGAATGCAATATTTATATATATTTATTATAACACGTTATATTTTAATAGAATAGGTAAATATTTTTTTTTACATACCTTGATTTATAAATATAAACTGCATTTTATAATTTTAATTAACAATAATATAATTATTTAATTGCTAATTGCTTTACTAACCTATTTTGTTCAAACATCAGAAATTAACAAATGTTTACAGAAATTAGGTATTTATTAATACATTTTATATATATTAAATATTAGCTCACTGGTAAATATTCAAAATGCAAATTAATTTCTTAAAAATCAAATTTATATATTTTACAAAAACTAATAAATTAATAGAAACTGACTTTTGTAAAAAAAAGAAAAAAGAAAAAAAAGTGATGTCTAAATACTACATAAATATTCTCGATTTCACACAAATTCAACAGGTACATATAGAAAAAGGCGCGTAAATACACATAATTGAAATCGAATTGAAACTCGAAATATTATAATCGAATTTTAATTTACTATATCTATATTATCTATATCTATATTAATATAGATATATTGGAGTACGATTAAGTTATTAAAACAAAACTAGCAATTGAATTCTTGAATTCTGAATATGATATGAATAAATATTGTTAAAAAAAAATTCCCACTTTTGAATAATCTAATTTATAATATATATACAATAAATTATAATAATTACCTCAATTTTTATGAAAAACTAAAAATTATTTTTACAAAAAATATATATTTTAAATTTTTTTTTTTGTTCAAATAAATTAAATACCCAAAATCAGAAATAATAATATTTACATATATATATAATAGGTAAAAGTGATTTTAATTGTGAATTTTTTTATTTCAAATAAAATTCATGTTTTAACAAAAATTCAAAAATTATTTATAAAAACTGTAATACAAAAAATTCTATATATAATTCAATTTCAAAACAAATATTGCATATTGGAAACATCTTATATTCATGCTAATAGAAGTAAATCAGGTCATGTTTTGCAACTTTCTTTATTAACGCTATTGCAGCTTCATCAGAGCCAGGTACAGTTCCGAGCTCGACACTGAAAGCGAGCTCACACACAAAAAATGCGCAGCTCTTATATATCGTACACATTCTTAATTTCAATTTGTCCATCATTTATAACACAGGAATTTATAAAAATTCTTGTAAATTCAATATCATGGCGACTTTTTTTTAAATTTCAATGTATGTGATTATACTATATTTCAGGTCGCTACATATATTGCTAAAACGCACAACTTTTAAACCATCTCTTGCTAAAAATCGTACAAAGAATACAAATAAGTTTTTTATCTTTGGTACTTGTATAAGAAGGGAGTTGATGATAAATTAAAATTGCAGCGACCAATGAGAGATTAAACATGATTTCATATGTGTGTATCTATGTATATGTATATCCAGAATCATATCTATTTTGTTTATCGTAAAAAACTTAATTAAAACACTATACAAATATCTCGCAATAGTTTATGTACATAATTATATAAATTCATTGCAATACTCTTCAAAAATCTTATAATTTTGAAAAAAATTGGGCGTGATCAAACACTATAATATTGGAGAAGAGTTGATAGCAAAACATAAAAAATATATTACATTTCACATATACATATATTTTTATGCAAATCAAATTATTTAAGTTTGGAAAATAATATATTTTCTAACGGAAACAATTTACAATAGATTATTTTTAAATACTATCCGGGTCGGTTGCACCTCTCATCCCTGCAAATGAACATTGTACAATCTTTGTTATCTGACTTCCATAATATAATAATCTTGATTTTATTGCAGCTAGATAGCAAATGTCACGGCAGCTTTGAAACTCATTATCCCGTATTTTCTATTAATTTATCACATTAATTGGCGGAAATATAATATTATAATTCCAATGTTCTTTGACATTGGAGTTCAAGACGTTTTAAAAGTTTCTACATACGTGCTTCGCAATAATATACAAAAAGAATATAATGTATAATTGTCAAGAAAAAAAATTTCATTAAAAATTACGTTATTGATATATGAAATCAAATCAATATTTCGGTAAAAAATGTTTTTAGAATTAAAAATTAAAAATTATAAAGTGTTGCGTTAAGAGATCTAAATATGTCTTTCAATTTAAAAAAAATTCCCTAATAAATATTTCTTATATGGAATAAATTAATTTTAATATTTAACAAGAAAGAAAAAAACTTTCTGTTTAAGATTTATCCATAATGAAATATTGAAGATGATCCTTATTTTTAAAAGTCGCACAAAATATCTTTTTCTTTCGCTGTTACATTATTTGTACGATTATTTGTATATTTCGCTACAATTACAATTACGTAATTATAATTAAATAGATGCAGAAATTGCTTAATCAAAAGATAAATTTGATTTATCAACTTCATAATAATATATCACGTAAACCATTTAAACGCCTCGATTTACACGTAAAAGTTCAAACTGAATTATACACCGGGATCAATATATTTCTAGAATTTCTAGGCTAGCCATTCATTGGCACTGATAAAGGACATTGCACTTGCCACACAATTAGATGACTTTGTTCTCCGTGTTCTTCAGCATTAGCGGACACAGCATTATTAGAACGTTCTATTTCTGTATCTTCTCCATCACCTGAAAAAATAATAATTCATAATGAATGAATAATAAACAAAAATTTATAATAAAAATAGATAAGAAGTATAGTTATTAGCCATTCTTTATACAATACGATGCATGTCAGCTGGAAATGCCCGACCCCCAGAGAATGAAAAAAAGCAAAACACTTGTACAATATATACAACTGCTTTAGAAACGGATATAGTGCAGATAGTTTTTTTTGTATTAATGAAAATTATTATAAAAATAATTTGTGCTATACAGAAGCAAATGATTTTAGATTATTTATATTTTTTGATATAAAATAAAAATATAATGACAATAAATCTGTAAACAAACATTTATACATTTTATATCTTAATATTTTCACAAAGAAAAATCATTTTAATGTCAGGTTAGATATATCTAACTACTTGCGAACTTGTTAGTTTGGAATTTCATTACATCGTGCACAAAACATAATTTTAGTAGTTAGTACAGGTTTCGTTGATAAAATAATTTATCCACTTAATTGTACAAACAATTGCGTAAATCGAATAAAGACCCATTTACAGATTTTCATTTTTCTCTGGGGGCATACCTGACCAACTGCCATACAATCAAATGAGTCGCCACATCACTTTCGTCTTCCGCTTCATCCGCTGCAAGTGTTATAATTGTATAAAACAAGATTTTGAGAGTATTAATAAGATAATAAGAGTCAAATTGAATAACATATTTTATATTATTTACATTTTAATTATAATAGTTATGATACTTAATAATTTGTTCATATAATTGTCTATAATATATATTATGAATAATAAATTTATTAATATGATTGCTTACCAACTCTAAAATCTATATAGCCTTCTCCACCTGAAAGAACAAGCATAGCAGGTTGAGAACCATCTGATACTGCACTTTGGCCACCATGACCTGCAATATTAATTTAAAAAAATTTATAAATTTTAATTTTATATTTTTTATATAATTTAAGAAATTAATCAAATACAATATAAATAAACATACCAGGCACTGCAACAAACATTTTAACCGCGTCTCTATGCCCATGAAAACTAAGTTGCGCATGAGCCATACTACAATAAGGTATAAAACTGCCAGGCGTAACGCCACGATCTGAGGCAAAAATTCTGACACCAACACCTGGTACATCATTTTTAGCATTTCCTGCTTGAACTCTGGATACTGCCATTGAACCACCAGCACCTATTTTACATAATTTTAGTAGTTATTCATAAATATTTATTGATAAATATATATTTATTATTAAAAATTTCAATCATAATTAATTTTTAATTATTTAATCAATTAATAAATTTAATTAAACTTTAACTTACTTTCAGATAAAGGAACGGAAATTATTACTCCATTTCCTGTACCAATCCATAGCCTGTTTGAGGAAATGAGTAATGCAGTAATTCTTACAAATGAAAAACCAAGTTTTCCAGTTCCAAGCATTTTGCTAACATAAGGTTCAATATCAACATCCTGGAGATGCTGATAAGTATGAGCATGATAGAGTCTTAATGTTGAATCTAATCTAATGCTGACCCACACTCCTTCACCCAACCAAGCTAATTGTCTTACTTGCGATTCTCGTCGTGGATGAGCATCCACAGTGCACTAAAAGTTTAATTTATAAAAATTTGTTTATATATTATTAAATTTTGTAATATTGAAATCTTAAAAAGATAAAATTTATGTACCTCAACAGTCATTGATATTGGATCTATTACATGAATCTTATTTCTATATCCGCACCATACAGTTTTGCCACTAACAGCAGTCATGCACCTAATTGAATGTTGTGGACTACCCAAAATAATCACATGATATTGAGATAAATCCCATTGGCCATCTGCACCTCTTCGAAATAATACAACAGTTCCATCAGCAAGAGCAACAAGAACTCGTCCTTGAACATGTCTAAAAAAAAATACATATATCAAATATCTTTTATATATTAAATAGGATATTGATTATTTTAAGTAGTAGTAAAAATTACATACACAATAGCTAATGCAGCATCCTTCAATTCAACGGAATGCAAACAAACTGACCACTTAGCAACAGCTGAATGAACAAATACCGCACCATTTTGAGCTCCAAGCCACATTGTTGGTTGTATTGAAGACATTTTTTCTATAGGTGTATCTTCTTCAATTTTACTTTGTTTTTCTTCACTTGTATCATCTTTTTCATCCAATTGTGAGCTTGGTGTTTCTAAATTAATTTTTACAAAATGTACTTTGCCTAAATTTGTGGTTTCACTATCTACACTTTCCAAACTTTGTGATTCAATAGGAATAATTTGATTAGTATCATCTGATTTTTTAACATTTTCACTGTTTTGTTCTTCTGAGGAATCTGATTCTTTTGTATTTTTTTCCAATGATGATTGAATTTCTTGTTCGTTTTTTTGGATATTCTGTTCGGAATTTGAAGTTGTATTTATTTCATTATCATTCTCATTTATTCCATTGGCAGTTCGAATTAAATCTTCATTCATAGCTTGAGCATAATCACTCTCTTTGGCTCCAGGTACACTTGCAAT